TGTGGTGTCTGCTGCCGCTGCTGCTGCTGCTGCTGCTGAGGCTGCTGAGGCTGCTGCGTCAGAGCAGCCAATTAGCACCATTATTATGGTGGTCATGTTTACCATCATTCATCACCTCACTTTAAGGCTACACAGCTGATTTGGAGAAGGAAGAGGAGGTGATACTGTACACTTTAGAGCAGGAAGCAGGAAGGGTCAAATGTAGCTTGGGGTTTCAATTTTGAAAAAAATAAAAAACAGGAATTGTTTTGTCAAATTATATTTCACTAAATATAAAGATGTATTTAATAAATTTGTACTTCTCTGTATGAAAAGGAAGGGGAAAAACTCTTATTGTTGTTTATGGGTAATTGTGTTATGGTTGGACTGGTCTAATACTGGTTGTATGCAGCCCCTGAACCAAAAGACCTCCTCCTCCTCCTCCTCCTCCTCCTCTTCCTTCTCCTTCTCCTTTTCTTATATCTATTCAGAGTTTTTACTGTAAATTTGCAAAAAAGAAGGAAAGAAAGACTGAATCTGACACAGATCTCCTTCTGTGTTCAACATCAACTTCTCCCTCTCTCTCTGTGTCTTTCTCTCTCTTTCTCTTTCTCTCTCTTTCTCTCTTTCTCTCTCTCTCTCTCCCTCTCTCTCTCTCTCCCCTCTCTCCTCTTCAATGGACCACCTCATCAGTTAAAGGTGACACAGATCTCCACAGCAGGTAATTGACTCTTTAATGAGAACCAGCCCCCTGAGCTGCATCACTGTCGCCATGACGACCACAGCTTCTCTGCAGTATCACACACACACACACACACACAGAGCCATGTGTGTCAGAGATGGATACTGAGCAGCTGAGCTCTGCTGATGTTGATAAACGACAGTCTTTTCAGTGCATCCACCCATTAGCTTGTTAGCATGTTAGCATTCTGAGTTTGGGTTTGTTTCTGTGTTCCACTGTGATCGACTTCATTCATCCTTTAGTCTCTTCATTGTTGTTTTCCTTTTGGTTTTTTTCGTTTGCCCCCATTTCCTCCGTGTCTCCTCGTCTTCGTCTTCATCTTCTCCTCACCTCACGTCACCTCCTCCCCTACTGCTCCCCTTCTCCCTCAGTGGTTTTTCTGTGAACAGGCTGATTACTCAGACTCACTCAGCGTCTGTTCCTCCGACTAATGATCCTGTTGTAGCTCCAGAAGGCGCTCACGGTCACCAGATATCTGGGATCACACTCTTCACTGCTGTTCACACACATGTTTCTGCACGTGTCGGTGTCAGGCTGATGGAAACTGAAGTCTCAGCCCAAACTGCTGCGGTCACACAGTCACTGTTGATGTGACTGTGATCTACAGCCCAGCTCATTGTCTTCAGCTGCTGCTCTAATGCTGCGGAGTTCAGTCTGAGCCTGGACTGAGGCTCAGTCTGAGCCTCGGCTCAGGCTCAGTCTGAACCTCAGTCCAGGCTCAGACTGAGCCTGGACTGAGGCTCAGTCTGAGCCTCGGCTCAGGCTCAGTCTGAACCTCAGTCCAGGCTCAGACTGAGCCTCAGTCCAGGCTCAGACTGAACCTCAGTCCAGGCTCAGACTGAGCCTCAGTCCAGGCTCAGACTGAACCTCAGTCCAGGCTCAGACTGAGCCTGGACTGAGGCTCAGACTGAGCCTGGACTGAGGCTCAGACTCAGCCTGGACTGAGGTTCAGACTGAGCCTGGACTGAGGCTCAGACTGAGCCTGGACTGAGGCTCAGACTCAGCCTGGACTGAGGTTCAGACTGAGCCTTGACTGAGGCTCAGTCTGAGCCTGGACTGAGGTTCAGACTGAGCCTGGACTGAGGCTCAGACTCAGCCTGGACTGACCCCAGGTCAGACACAAGACACAGAATGAATACAAGCTGGTTTTTACAGCTGGGACACACGTGTAGTGATCAGTCCACGTTAGAGTCCACGTCCTGTGTCTGTGTCTGACCTGGGGTCAGTCCTGCTGTCACTGTGAATGTGACATCACTGATGATGATGATGATGATGATGATGATGATGATAAAACTGGGGGACAGAGAGAATTATGCAGTTAAAGGCATGAGGAGGTCACAAAGGTCAGGACTCCTCCTAGAGAGATGTGAGGAGGAGGAGGAGGAGAGTGAAGACGAGGGATTTAGATTTGTTGAAATCATGCCAAGATCTTAATTATTGAATAATTTATATGGTCTCAGAAAAAAAAAAATGATGATCGATGCGTACAAAAGAGAGGAGGAGGAGGAGGAGGAGGGGAAGAGGTGAGATAAGAGGAGATAATGAAGACATTTAGAGAGAAAAGAAGGGTGAGAGACAGGAGGAGGTGGGGAGGAAGGGGAGACGGAAAGAGGGACAAAGAGGGAGAAAATGAAGGGACAGAAAATGAGAACACAGGAAGAGAAGAAACACGAGGAAGAAGAAGAAGATGTTAAAGAAGGAGAAAGGAGGAGAGAGAGAGAGAGAGAGAGAGAGAGAGAGAGAGAGAGAGAGGGATCTGTGATGAGGTTTGGACCGAGAGCAGATGGAGGAGAGATCTCACATGACCAGTGTGTGTGTGTGTGTGTTTCTCGGTGTGACATCTGGAGAACACAAGTAAAAAGCCACTACAAGGAAACTTGTGAACTTGTTTTACACACACTCACCCAAACACACACACACA